ATGCTGGAAATCACAACGGGTCAGGCAGCATCCGTGAAGAGAGAGCAAGCTAATGCTTTGAGTCTAGATGACTCCTCATCAGAGCTGATGTGAAGTGTGGAGGGGACAGCATTAATACAATAGTGTGGGAGTGGAGTGCAGGGGGAGAAAGGATGCTGATAGTGCAAATTAAGTGATTGGAATGTGAGAGTGGTCTCTGATCACTTAATTTGCACTATCAGCACCATTTCTCCCCCAGCACTCTGCCCCCACACTATTGTATTAATGCTGTCCCCTCCACACTTCACATCAGCTCTGATGAGGAGTCATTTAGGCTTGAAACGTTAGCTTGCTGTCGGTCCATCGATGCCACTGACTCGTTGTGATTTCCAGTATTTTTTTTTCAGACGCTGCCAAAGTACCTCTCTCCAAAGCCAGGCCAAGCTCAAGAATGTTCACACATGGATCACTTTCTATCACACTATTTGGAAAAGATAACTTAAGGAGATTATTGGATAAGATACACAAGTTGCCATACAGTTAACTATTTTTAAGATGCTACATGCTAAAATACTTCTAAATGTTCAACATTATTGCAATGTGTAACATAAAGCAGATTTTACAAATTACGGGACCCAAAGATTAAATCAATTGTATGTTGAGGAAATTCTCATTGCAGTAAGCCATTTCAAAAATCAACAGTGAAGAGCTAATCACAAGATAAATTAAAACAAAAGACAAACTTGTAGTCCATTGCAAGTCTTTCTTCTGAAATATGCATAACAAAGTCTTCCACAAAAGCAGCTAGTCATTTTCTACATTCATTTTGAGTTTAACTGGCAGTCTTCTGCCAAATTGTTCTTCCTGTTGATTATCTTGTTTGTAATGAAACACTGTGTCACTTTTCATATATTTCAACCTGTGCTTTTTGTCATTCTGGCCAGGTACAGAAATAACATTATAAGATAATTGTCATTCTTGACTTTATTTATGTGTGTGGTGCCTGTTTGAGTGGATTGTATGCCAGAGCTTGAGCTGTGGTCATTTAGGATAACCCTTGTTGTCCAGTTGCCTCTGTCTGATTTGGAGTGATGGCTCAAATGTAGGTGGCATGGTGCACTGCCACATAATGAAGGCATTATGTCTGCTGCCAGAATATCAGGTATTGAATTGTATAATGCATTGATTTCCAGCTGGATGTTGAGGGAGTTGAATTCCTTTTCTGCAGAGTTGTCATGTGGCACAAACAGAACAGTTTGTGTGCAGTTCATGCATCATTTGGAAACAAACAATCCTTATGAAGCTGCTCCATCTGCTTAATCTGGCAAGAGAGAATGAAATATATTCAGCTTTCTTGTAATCAAGAACCTTAACAATGTTGCATTTGAGTTGTGGAATAGGCTTGAGGGGCTAATAGGTCAATTTCTATTAATATTAATCTTTATAAGATCTCTCCTTACATGTCTTTTTTATGGCCTGAAGTACACTACCTTATCAAATGATTCTTCATAAAGCACATTGCTATACCAGGGATCAGCCTTGTTGCTTTTCTTGGCATTGGTTTAAGTCTCCTTATGTTCCAATACTGGGAGCGTAGTATTGCTCTGGGCATGTTTCACCAATGCATTATACAGCATCATCGTGACTTACAGAATTGGAAGTTAATAGATTTGGCAGTACAATCTGGTACACCTGCATGAGAGAGAAACGTTTGCTTCCTCTAATGAAAACAAAGAATATGAAAACTACAGGGGCATAAGAAAGCAGGAAATGAGATAAGTCTGGTTATTTCTTCTGCTAAGATACAAAATTTACTTGATTTTGTTTTCACATATGGGATGTGGGCATTGCTGATAAAGCCGAACATTCATTGCTCATCCTGATTTGACCTTGAAATTGAATGGCTTTGGGCTATTTCAGAGGGCATTTAAGAGTCAACTACATAGGTATGTGTCTGGAGTCACATGTAGGCCAGACTGGGTAAAGCCAGCGATTTTCTTCCCTGCGGCTTATTGGTGTGTACCAGATCAATTCTTATGGCAATCACCAATAATTACATGGTTATCTTATAATTCCGGATTTTTAATGAATTCCAATATCACCGTCAGCCACGCTAGGATTCAAACTTGTGTCCCCACATCTTTAGTCTGGGGTTCTGGGTTACTAGTTCAGTAACATTACCACTGCACTATGGCCACTCCTTCATAATCACAGACTCTTTTAATCTCAAGAGCAGGATTGCCCTCAAGAGCTTCAGAATATCTCATTTGCCCTTGAACGCATAACTTTGCATGTGTACCAGGTTTATGTGCAGCTCAGGAACCATCAAACATCTGCTTTAGTCATGGGTTTATTACACAAGGTCCCTATTCAGATGGAACAAAAACAATTACTGATTCTTAGGTTCGTCAAGATATCAAGTCAGTTCATTTGAACCATTATAGAATAAGAGAAATTCACAGACAGTTCTGCTCATTGAAACTTGTTCATAATGGACACGTTCCTAAATGATGCATTGTAATAAATAAACACTGCAGATGCTGGAGAATCTGAGATTACAAAGTGTAGAGCTGGATGAACACAGCAGCCAAGCAGCAACAGAGGAGCAGGAAGGCTGACGTTTTCGGCCTAGACCCTTCTTCAGAAACTATTTCTATATCTATTTCTATATAGTTGCAAATTATTTTATCTTTGACGCAGTTCTCATCTTTGTAATTATGGTAAATCATGTGACTTTTGGTGTTGGATTTACAATGGAGCTTTTTATAACATTTTGTAGCACGTTCTATCATGTGCTTTTGCTGACTAACAAGGGGAATGTGAGAGGGCATAATAAAATCTTGCTGCATGTACGTTGGGTTAAATTTACATGCTCAAGACCATCATTATTCTCAGTTAGAGAAGTATAAAGGCCAGTCACCATTATGTTAATCTTATCATTCATCAAACAACTTATATACAAATATATTTATAGAAAACGAATGAAGCTTAGCCCAAAGTACAGAGCAACAAAATTTAAAGGAAAACTCACAAGCTCTATGTTGCAAAATAACTCATAATTTGAACAGATTGTCCCCACTGATTCTCATTCTATTTGAGCAAAATCAATGACATTTGCTTCATGTGCTGTCCGAGTGGGAGGAGCCTCCATTACAAGGTAACTTTAATTAGAAAGGAAAATTGCAGTCCTAATGATGGATAAGGTGAAGATTATCTCTAGTTCTTTTCTGTGTGTTTCCTGTGTGATACTTCTATATGATAACAACAGAAGGTCTACCTGCCAATTGGACTCTGCAAGATTCCACAGGTCAAAAGATGGTTATAGATGAAAAAAGCACCCTTTACCCAAAGACCAGAGGTAGAAAATGTCAGGACATAATGACAGGGTCAAATGAAGAAGAGCAGAAGGAAGCTCATATAGAATATAAAGGCTGGCCTAGATCAGTTATCAGAAGGGCTTGTTTCAGTGCAGTAAATTCTATGAAATTCTTTGCAGCGTCTAATTATTTCTTAAAAAATAACAGCAATTTTACATCCATTACTCTTCCTATAAATCTTTGTGGGGTAATTTGCAAAGTGAGCTCAAAGCCTTATTTGTGAGCAGTTTAAGAGAGGGAGCTGATGATAGAGGTTCTGATTTCTAAACATTTGATGGAAGGAAGTTACAACACATCCAAGTAATTAACAAAGGTTGTTTGGTCTTGCACTATTTGGTCTTGTAATCAGTTTTACCAGATGATACCAAAAATAATTACATATAAACAAAAATGAATTAAAAAAACATAAGTATAAGCACAAAGCAACCCATGCTTCTTTTCTGTACATCCAGTCAGCAGTTACTGAGCAACCAGGGAATCAAGCATCTGAAAGGTCATTTCAGAATTTGCCTGATTGTTAAGTGGATGGTAAAGTTCAAACAAGAACATTATCTTAAGCTGAATTGACAAGCTGACATAAATTACCATTAATAAAATACAAGTTTAGCATAATGTCAACAAATATTTACTTAGAGAATAAGTGCTCTATGTGTGATTTATAAGAACATAAGACATAGGATCAGAAGTTAGGCCATTCAGCCCATCGAGTCTGCTCTGCCATTCAATAATAGCTGATAAGTTTCTCAACACCATTCTCCTGCTTTCTTGTTTTTTCTCCCGCTTTTTAAGACAGAGATAGATAGGTTCTTGATTGTCAAGGGGATCAAGGGTTATGGGGAGAAAGTGGGAGAATGGGGTTGAGAAACTTATCAGCCATGATTGAATGGCAGAGCAGACTCAATGGACTGAATGGCCTAACTTCTGCTCCTGTGTATTATGGTCTTATAAATCATACATTGGGCACTTTTTCTCTAAATAAGTATTTCTTGACATTATGCTAAACTTTTATTAGTGTTAATTTATGTCATCTTGTCAATTCATTTAAGATAATGTTCTTGTTTGAACTTTACCATCCACTTAACAATCTGGCAAATTCTGAAATGACCTTTCAGATGCGTGATTTCCTGGTTGCTCAGTAACTACTGACTGGATGTACAGAAAAGAAGCATGGGTTGCTTTGTGCTTATAGTTATGTTTTTTAAATTAATTTTTGTTTATATGTAATTATTTTTGGTATCATCTGTTAAAACTGATTACAAGACCGAATAGTGCAAGACCGAACAACCTTTGTTAAATACTTGGATGTGTTGTAACTTCCTTCCGTCAAATGTTTAGAAATCAGAACCTCTATCATCAGCTCCATCTCTTAGCTAGTGTCTTAAACTGCTCACAAATAAGGCTTTGAGCTCACTTTGCAAATTACCCCACAAAGAATACACCCTATGATCATCCAGTATGTTATTTGTTTTCACCCTACCTTGGCCCATTTGTCACTTAATATTCACATACACCTTTGTCACCACCAGTCTAGTTTAGGCTCTCTAGATTGCTTCACATCCTTCATTACTCATCAGAAACCTTATCTGTCATGTGCTTAGTTCTACTTGCTCATTATATTACATTAATGTTGTGCCTTTGTTTAAAAATGAATGCAAGGAGAAGCCTGGAAACTTATAGACATGTAAGCTTGACTTCTGTTGTGGTAATTTGTTGGAGGTGTTTCTGAAAGATAAGATATATATGCATTTGGAGCGGCAAGGAATGATTAGGGAAAGTCAGCATTGTTTTGCGTGAGGGAAATCATGTCTCACAAACTTGATTGAGGAAGTAACCAAAAAGATTGATGAGGGCAGAGTTATAGACATTGCTCATTTGGACTTTCGTAAGGCCTTTGACAAGGTTCTGCATGGTAGACGAATTAGTAAAGTTGGATCACTTGGAAATCAGGATGAACTTGCCAATTTGATACAAAATTGGCTTAATGGCAGGAGACAGAGAGTGGTGGTGGAAGGTTAGTTTTCAGACCAGAGGCCTGTTACTAGTGGCGCTCCACAGGAATCAATGCAGAGTCCACTTTTGTTTGTCATTTATATAAATGATTTAGATGAGAATATAGAAGGCACGGTTAGTAAGTTTGTGGATGACACCAAAATTGGCATAGTGGACAGTGAAGAAGGTTATCTAAGATGACAAATAGATCTTGCTCAATTGGACCAATGGGCTGAGGAGTGGCAGATGGAGTTTAATTTAGATAAATGCGAGGTATCGCATTTTGGTAAAGCAGACAAGGACAGCACTTATACAATTAAAAGTAGGACCTTGGGTAGTATTGTAGAACAGAGGGACCTAGAGGTTCAGATACATAATTTTTTGAAGTTTGCGTCAATGTAGACAGGATGGTTAAGAAGGCGTTTAGTACACTTCCCTTTATTGCTCAGACCTTTGAGTATAAGAGTTGGGAAGTCATGTTGAGATTGTACAAGACATTGGTGAGTCATCTTCTGGAGTACTGTGTCCAGTTCTCGTTGTCCTGTTATAGGAAGGATATTAGCAAGCTGGAAAGGGTTCAGAAAAGATGTACCAGGATGTTGCCAAGAATAGAAGGTTTGAGTTATAGGAAGAGGCTGGATATTCTGGGACTTTTCACTGGACGCAGGAGATTGAGGGGTGACCTTACAGAAGTTGTTAAAATCATGAGGAGTATAGATAAGGTGGATGGTTGATATCTTTTCCCTACTGTAGCGGATTTCAAGATTAGGGGCATATTTTTAAGGTTAGAGGAGAAAGATTTAAGAAAGACACGGGGGCAACTTTATTACACAGAGGGTAGTTCAAGTGTGGTAGATTCAAAATAGTTCTAGAGGAAGTGATAGATGTGGGTACAGTTACAACGTTTAAAAGACATATGGATAACTACATGAATAAGAAGGTGTAGAGCTGGATGAACACAGCAGGCCAAGCAGCATCAGAGGAGCAGGAAGGCTGACATTTCGGGCCTAGACCCTTCTTCAGAAATGGGAGAGGGGGAGGGGGTTCTGAAATAAATAGGGAGAGAGGGGGAGGCGGATAGAAGATGGATAGAGGAGAAGATAGGTGGAGAGGAGACAGACAGGTCAAAGAGGCGGGGATGGAGCCAGTAAAGGTGAGAGTAGGTGGGGAGTTAGGGAGGAGATAGGTCAGTCCAGGGAGGACAGACAGGTCAAGGGGGCGGGATAGGGTTAGTAGGTAGGAGATGGGGTGGGGCTTGAGGTTGGAGGAGGGGATAGGTGAGAGGAAGGACAGGTTAGGGAGGCGGGGACGAGCTGGGCTGGTTTTGGGATGCGGTAGGGGAAGGGGAGATTTTGAAGCTCCTCCCACCTCAAGCCCCATCCCATCTCCTACCTACTAACCTCATCCCGCTCCCTTGACCTGTCCGTCCTCCCTGGACTGACCTATCTCCTCCCTAACTCCTCACCTACACTCACCTTTACTGGCTCCATCCCCACCTCTTTGACCTGTCTGTCTCCTCTCCACCCTCTCTTCTCCTCTATCCATCTTCTATCCGCCTCCCCCTCTCTCCCTATTTACTTCAGAACCCCCTTCCCCTCCCCCATTTCTGAAGAAGGGTCTAGGCCCGAAACGTCAGCCTTACTGCTCCTCTGATGCTGCTTGGCCTGCTGTGTTCATCCAGCTCTACGCCTTGTTATCTCAGATTCTCCAGCATCTGCAGTTCCTACTATCTCTGAATAAGAAGGGTTTGGAGGGATATAGGCCACAAGCAGGGAAATGGGACTTGTTTTGTTTCGGATTATGGTCAGCATGGTCCAGTTGGACCGAAGGACCTGTTTCCATGCTGTATGATTATATGACTCTATTCCCGTTGTTGCTGATCTATAAGCTCCAATTTTAAAATAGCGATCAGTGCAAATCACTGGCATCATTGACTGTTTATCTTTAGCTGCCCATAAGGAATATAATAAGCTGTTGTTTCAACTGGTACAGTCCATGTAGTGATGGTACTCCCTCGGTACTGCTAATATAAAGAATTCCAGCATTTTGAACCAGGAATATTGCAAGAATGGCAGAGTATATCCAAGTCAGGTTGGTATTTTACATGGAGAGGAATTCAGGGTTGGTGGCTTTTGCATACACCTGCCGAGGTCTTTCTCATTTCTGTTGTGATAGGTTTTAATGATTACATAGAGGCAAGCAGTGAAGAAAATTTTACAGTATACAGAAATGACATGGATGAAGGGATTGAAAGTTTGCTTGCTAAATTTTCTGATTACACAAAGATAGGAAGGTAAGTTGTTGAGAGGGCACAAGGCTACAAAGGGAGATAGAGGTGTTAAGTGAGTCAGCAAAGATCAGGTAAATGAATTTTAATGTGAGAAAATGAAATTATCTATTTTGTCAGGAAGAATGAGAAAGCATATAATATAAATAGTGAGAGATTGCAGAGCTCTGAGAAGCAGAGTGATCTGGGTGTCCTAGTGCATGAATTGCACAAGGTTAGTATATAGGTACAGCAAGTAATTGTGAAAGTGAACAGAAATTACTGTTTATTGCAAGGGAAATGAATTCAAAAGTAGATTATGCTTCAACTGTATAGGGCAACGGTAAGACAACTTCTAGAATACTGTCCATAGTATTGATCTTCTTGTTTAAGGAAGGATGTAAGTGTATTGGAAGCAGCTTAGAGAATATTTACTGGACTAATACCTAGAAGGTGTTGTCTTAAGAGGAGTTGGGCAGACTAGGCTTGTACCCACTGGGGTTTAGAAGAGGATAGGCAACTTCATTGAAACATATAAGATCGTTAGAGATCTTGACAGAGTGCAGTTAGAAAGACATTTCCTCTTGTGTGAGATTCTAGACTTAGGGAGTCACTGTTTAAAATTAAGGAGTTGCTCATTTAAGATAGACACAAAAAGAACTTTTTTTTTCCACATAGGGTGATAGTCTCTGGAATTCTCTTCCTCAAAAGGCTGTAGAAGCAGAGTCTCTGAATATTTTTAAGGCAGAGGAAGCTAAATAATTAAGGGGTGAAAGGTTATTACAATGTGAAGTATCTGCAGTATCTGCAAATGTGAAGTAATCAGATCAGCCGTAATCTTATTGAATCTTATTGAATCTTATTACTAGAGTAAGATTGGGGCCGGTCAAGGACAGTAGTGGGAAGTTGTGCGTGGAGTCCGAAGAGATAGGAGAGGTGCTAAATGAATATTTTTCGTCAGTATTCACACAGGAAAAAGACAATGTAGTCAAGGAGAATACTGAGATACAGTCTATTAGACTAGACGGGATTGAGGTTCATAAGGAGGAGGTGTTAGCAATTCTGAAAGCTGTGAAAATAGATAAGTCCCCTGGGCCGGATGGGATTTATCCTAGGATTCTCTGGGAAGCCAGAGAGGAGATTGCAGAGCCTTTGGCTTTGATCTTTATGTCGTCATTGTCTTCAGGAATAGTGCCAGAAGACTGGAGACTAGCAAATGTTGTCCCCTTGTTCAAGAAGGGGAGTAGAGACAACCCTGGTAATTATAGACCAGTGAGCCTTACTTCGGTTGTGGGTAAAGTGTTGGAAAGGATCATAAGAGATAGGATTTATAATCATCTAGAAAGGAATAATTTGATTAGGGATAGTCAACACGGTTTTGTGAAGGGTAGGTCGTGCCTCACAAACCTTATTGAGTTCTTCGAGAAGGTGACCAAACAGGTGGATGAGGGTAAAGCGGTTGATGTGGTGTATTTGGATTTCAGTAAAGCGTTTGATAAGGTTCCCCATGGTAGGCTGTTGCAGAAAATACGGAGGCATGGGATTGAGGGTGATTTAACGGTTTGGATCAGAAATTGGCTAGCTGTAAGAAGACAGAGGGTGGTGGTTGATGGGAAATGTTCATCCTGGAGTTCAGTTACTAGTGGTGTACCTCGAGGATCTGTTTTGGGGCCACTGCTGTTTGTCATTTTTATAAATGACCTGGATGAGGGCGTAGAAGGATGGGTTAGTAAATTTGCGGATGACACCAAAGTCGGTGGAGTTGTGGATAGTGCGGAAGGATGTTGCAGGTTACAGAGGGACATAGATAAGCTGCAGAGCTGGGCTGAGAGGTGGCAAATGGAGTTTAATGCAGAAAAGTGTGAGGTGATTCACTTTGGAAGGAATAACAGGAATACAGAGTACTGGGCTAATGGTAAGATTCTTGGTAGGGTGGATGAGCAGAAAGATCTCGGTGTCCATGTGCATAGATCACTGAAAGTTGCCACCCAGGTTGATAGCGTTGTTAAGAAGGCGTACAGTATGTTAGGTTTTATTGGTAGAGGGATTGAGTTTCGGAGCCATGAGGTCATGTTGCAACTGTACAAAACTCTGGTGCGGCCGCACTTGGAGTATTGCGTACAGTTCTGGTCACCGCATTATAGGAAGGATGTGGAAGCATTGGAAAGGGTGCAGAGGAGATTTACCAGGATGTTGCCTGGTATGGAGGGAAGGTCTTATGAGGAAAGGCTGAGGGTTTTGAGGCTGTTTTCGTTAGAGAGAAGAAGCTTAAGAGGTGACTTGATAGAGACATACAAGATCATCAGAGGATTAGATAGGGTGGACAGTGGGAGCCTTTTTCCTCGGATGGTGATGGCTAGCACGAGGGGACATAGCTTTAAATTGAGGGGTGATAGATATAGGACAGATGTCAGAGGTAGGTTCTT